GGGGTGGGTTCGGCTGACTCGTTCTTGTGAGACAGCGTATCAGTGGGAACCTGGAGGTGACCAGCCTGCCAGGAAAAGTGAACAGGGTAGGACTGCACAGTGGCAGCCCAGCGAGCTTGGCGGGGCGTGAGCTGTTGGGGCTCATGGTAGTATTTGAGGTTTTTGTGGTCAGTGTAGACCACAGTGGGTTCGACAGGGGACAGAAGATATGGACGGAAGGCCTTCAATGGACGAATGACCACTAGCATTTCCAAATCATAGACCTGGTAGCGCTGTTCAGCTCCTACCAAGGATTGCGAGAGGTAGGAACAGGGGTGCCATTCCCCATCGGTACTGCGTTGGGCAAGTACCGCACCAGTTCCGAGTTTGGAAGCATCGGTAAAGAGTGTGAAGGGTTTCGAGAAGTCAGGGATAGAGAGGACTGGAGCTGAGCATAACAAAGACTTAAGCCTCTTAAAGGCTTCATCTCGCTCAGTGGTCCACTGGTAAGAGACCCCTTTCTTTGTTAGGTCGTGTAACAGGACGTGCAATGCTTGAAAAGGAAGGGATGAACTTTCGGTAAAAGTTGCAAAACCCGAGGAATCTTTGGAGGCCGGTTAGGTTCTCTGGAGCTTCCCAAGTGCTAATTGTGTCAGTTTTTGTCAGCGAGGTTTCTATTCAGCCTCGTCCAATGATCATTCCCAAAAATTCAATTTCCTTGGCCTCGAAGACACATTTGCTGATCTTGAGGCGGAGTCCTTCCTTGGCACAGATTTGGAGGAACTCGCAGACACGAGAGCGGAGTTCTTCTTTAGTCTTGCCATGGACAGCGACGTCATCCATATATCCGACCTGTTTTCCTCGCTGAGAGGCAAAGGTCCGGTCCATATAATGCTGGAAGGAGGGTGGTGAGTTACATTGACCGAAGAACATCACCGTAGGTTCGAATAACCCTCGAGGGGTAATAAATGCCCCCTTCCATTCGTCACCTTCTTTCACCCAGAGGTTGGTAAAACCCCATCGGATGTTGAACTTGGCATAATACCTAGATCTGATCAGTTTGTCGAACAGAGCCTGGGGGTTCGGCAAAGGGTGAGCATCTGGAATGGTGAACGAGTTTAAATAGCAGTAGTCTTGAATTAGCCGCTTTTTACCATCCTTCTTTGCTACAAAGAACACCGGAGCTGCTTGTGGCGACGTTGAGGGTCGAATCTTGTGGCATTTTAAGTTTTTGTCGAGGAATTCGTCCAGGACTTTTAATTTGTCCGGGGACATCGGGTATATGGTCGCTTTTCTGGGCTTGAAATCTTCTTTCAGCCGTATCTCGTGGTCCAGTCCAGGTCGATGCTTGGGTAACGGAATATCCATTTTGGAAAAGACCTGTGCAAATTCTTCATACTCCCTTGGAAGTATAACTTCCTCCTTTTATACAGCCCCTGGGGGAATTATAATTACAAACTCCTGACCATAATTTGGGGGAAATAATGCTGGGAGTCGATAGATATGTCAATTGGGATGTCTCAGGTGAAATTTGAATGAAATTGGCGGTCAGAAAAAAAATCTACAGGGGGTAGAAGGATGGTCAGACCACAAAGTGGTATCTCTTTGGAAATACTTCTGGGAGGCTGGAAATCATTTCCATTGTCTTCAGTGGCATTGATAACACCCAGGACATCCATCCCTGGCAAGCTGGCACCCCCTCCTGATGTTACTGGATCACCATCCCTGGGGTATGAGGAGGGGATGAGGTATGTTGATGAAACAAATATGGGGACCTTTGAAACGCAATTCTGATGGTCTTGTAATGTCATACCCATGGGGTAGACATGATTCAGATAGCTAGATCAATCTCTGAAATTGTTTTGATGGAGTGAACATGGGGAGGGGGGGTAATATATGTTTCATGGATATTCTGACACCTAGGAATGCTGCTACCATTGTCATCATCCATTGTGACTTTCAGGCCCTCCAGGACAACCATTCCTGACAAGCTTTCATGCTTCCTAAACATTACAGAATTAGCACCCCCAGGATAAGAGGAGGGGAGTGACACATAGGGTCCTGTCTGGTGTGATCCAAATGGTCCTGCTATGTCATTCAAGTGGCACAGACATGGTATGGACAGCTGGATTGATCTGGAATTGTTTTGATGGAGTGAAGCTGAAGAGGGGGGTTCACCTTGGGGCCAGGTATCATCCCAAGATGCCAAACATGTTGCTACCTGATCAGACTACACTAGGCAACACTGGGATTCAGTTCCACAGGAATGGGAACCACAATCTATATCAACAAAGGTCTGGTTCAGAGTCCAACTCTGAATGGCATCTTCCAAAGATGTTGGCTCTGGTTTTCCCTCTGAACCTCTCAGCCAAGTTGCATCCAACTGGATCCAAAGCTGACAGGTAAACAGAATGAAAAGTTTCCCAACCACTGGCCCCAGACTGGACAGTTGGGCTGACCACTTCCAGTCCTGCATGATCAACCAAGGCTGCAGTTGGATGGTCCTTGACAATTTGGCCCATGTCAGTCTGCTGCTAATGGGAAATTGTTTGCAAACACCAGCAAACATCGAGCCAGCACCATGGCCTCTGTCCAAATTGACTGTGACAGCCTGTCACTCATTTTGGAGCAGATGGAACATCATTTGCAGCCTCTGGTAGGTCAATCGACTTTCATGTAATCCAAATAAATTACATTGGATATTCTATCAGTGTGCCCACCCGACCACCCCTGCTGAGACCATGCTGCACCACTTGAAATGGTGTTCATACCATGGAAACCTCTTCCCCTGCTCTCAGGTTGATAGGTACAGGTCCATACAATATGGGGAATGACAGACAACACAGATGAACACCAGCCAACATCAACCCCTTACCAAAGCCCCTATCCAGACCATGTCCAAATGCTGGGAGACCCTGGGACCTGGTTCAAGCACATTGATCATCATTCCCAGATTCCTGTATGTCTATATTACTGCATGTATTACAATGAAATACAGAATCTACATCAGATAGTATACCAGTATGCCCACTGGATCACCCTGCCTCAGAGCATGCTGGCCCACTTGGAATGGTGTTCATCCATACAGGCCCACTTGCATGGGTCTTGTAGTACCATGTCCTGGTCCGTCCACCATGACAAACACTGATGAACATGGGCAAACATTTGTGAACATCAGTCCAGCATGGATGGCCCTGAGTAAACATACTGGAGGACTTGTTTACTTGTTTGGAATGCATTAATCAGCTATTCCAGACTCCCCTAGGTCGATTGCATGTCTGGTAATACAAATAAAATACATCAGATAACATATCAATGTTCCTGTCTGACCACTCTCCCTCATGGCATGCTGGACCATTTGAAGTGGTGTTTGTCCCTCCTAGATCAATTGCAATTGACCTTGCTAGGACATTTACAGGTCCATACAGCCAGACGAACACCAATGAACACCAATGAACATCACTCCAGAAGCAATGCCCCTGTCCACATTGACTGGGACACCCTGGGACTTGTGTGGAATGCATTAATCACTTTTCCCAGACTCTCCTAGGTCTATTGCATGTCTGGTAATACAACCAAAATACATCTTATAACATTCTGATGTTCCCATCTGACCACTCCCCCTTGGAGCATGCTGGGCTGCTTGACATGGTGTTCATCCCCCCTAGCTCAATTGCAATTGACCTGTTCTGAACATGTCTAGGTCTGTACAGCAGGGCAAACACCAACACACACTGAAGAACACTGTTCCAGAACAAAAGCCCCTGTCCACATTGACTGGGACAACCTGTGACTTGTTTAGAGTGTGCTAACCATCTTTGCCTGACTCTCCTATGTCAATTGCATGTCTTGTAATACAACCTACATACATGATATAACATACCAATGATCCTGTCTGACCACTCCCCATCATGGCATGCTGGACCCTTGAAGTGGTGTTTGTCCCCCCTAGGACCACCAAAGTCAACCTAATTTGGACGTCCCCAGGTCCATACAGCAGGACGAACACTAACGAACACTGACGAACACCAATGAACATTGATCCAGAACCGAAGCCCCTGTCCACATTGACAGGGACACCTGGAGACCTGTTTTGAGTGTACTAACCATCGTTGCCTGACTCACCTATGTCTATTGCATGTCTGGTAATACAACTAAAATACATCTTAAGACATACCAATGTTCCCATCTGACCACTCCTCCTTGGAGCATGCTGGATTGCTTGAAGTGGTGTTTGCCCCCCCTCAGACCACCTCAATCGACCTAATTTGGACATCCACAGGTCCATACAGCAGGATGAACCCCATCGAACACCAATGAACACCAACAAACAGCAACAAACACCAATGAACATTGATCAAGCACCAAAGCCCCTGTCCACATTGACTTGGACACCCTGCGACTTGTTTAGAGTGCACTAACCATTATTCCCTGACTCTCCTATGTCAATTGCATGTCTGGTAATACAACCTACATACATGATATAACATACCAATGATCCTGTCTGACCACTCCCCATCATGGTGCACTGGACCCCTTGAAGTGGTGTTTGTCCCCCCTAGGACCACTGCAATCGACCTACTTTGGAGATCCACAGGTCCATACAGCAGCACAAACCCCATCGAACACCAATGAACAGCAACAAACATGAACAAACACCAATGAACATTGATCCAGAACTGAAGCCCCTGTCCACATTGACTTGGACACCCTGCAACTTGTGTAGAGTGCACTAACCATCTTTCCCTGACTCTCCTAGGGTCTATTGCATGTCTGGTAATACAACTACAATCCATCTTATAACATACCAATGTTCCCATCTGACCACTCCTCCTTGGAGCATGCTGGACCCCTTGAAGTGCATCAACTGAGTGCACAGAGTGCATCAACCGAGTGCACAGAGTGCACCACAAGTTGGCACCACATCATTGATACATGGGGAACTGGATGAACAGAATTCATCACTGTCTCCCTCTGTACCCATACCCTTGCCTTCCCCCTCCCCATCCCTCTGCTTCCCTCTATGAGGTGGCCTTGCCTCTTCTTGCTGGAGCCTTTCGAGCATTCTTTGCCTTTGATGACTTCTTAGTCTGTGCCTCTTTCAGCCTCTGCCTTTCTAAGATGAGGGCCTTGCTAGCCAGCAGTTCGTCATATCCAGCATGCTCCAGGAGCTCCATCTGCAGTGCATTCCTGGGCTTTACCACTCGAGATGCTCGTCTCCTGGCCTGTTGCTGCTCCTTCTCGGTGGAGATACCCTCGATCTTGTAGAACTTGGGATTTGTCACCAGAACCACCTTCTCACCCTCCACCTGCCATGTCTTCCCAGGACTCTTTTCACTCCCTTTGGTCGCATCAGGTAATGTCTGAAGGACAGAAAATATCCTGCCAAGGTGGTCCAGCACCTCAAACTCCTCCAGGGGTGTCCTGTTCTTCATCACCTGGTGATACTCCCAAATATAGCCAGGCTTCGTCCAGAAGACATTCCATGGTGACCTCCGTGAAGGTTGTCCTGCTGTGGGTCCTGGGAAAAACAGGTTGACCCTCTCTGCAAAGCTTGACTGTCGGCGACCAGCCCCTCCACTCCCTGCAATTTCTGCATTGCAGGCCTTGAATTCACAGGCACGTATTGTCCTGAAGGTCTGGTTCAGAGTCCAACTCTGAATGGCTTCTTCCAAAGATGTTGGCTCTGGTTTTCCCTCTGAGCCTGTCAGCCAAGTCGCATCCAACTGGATCCAAAGCTGACAGGTAAACAGAACAAAAAGTTTCCCTACCACTGGCCCCAGACTGGACAGTTGGGCCGACCACTTCCAGTCCTGCATGATCAACCAAGGCTGCAGTTGGATGGTCCTTGTCAATTTGGCCCACGTCGGTCTGCTGCCAATGGGAAATTGTTCCACTTCGTCCAGAGGGGGAATCCTTGGCCAGGCAGGTCGTCCATCACCCCTCTTCAACTTTCCCTCCATCAGCTTGAGCACCTCCAGGTCAGTCATGATCCTGAACTTCTGGAAGATGGGGGACATGATGCAAGTCCAGGTCCAAAAGGAAGAACATTCCAAACCGCTCACACACCCTGGAGACCTGCAGAAGGGCCATGGACTCTCTCACATGGAAGTCAAGGATTATTGCAGTGGTGGATGTGCACCGAATCATGTGGCAGATGATGCCAGTCAGAATCCCAAGGTTGGGTGGTTCCAGTTCCTTGAGAGAGATCTGAGCCAACTGGAGGGCCCTGATGCGTCTAGCCATAAATTCCAACCAGACTTTGGTCGGGATCCAGAGAATGGGATTGGAGGCTAAAAGCTCTTCCATCTGCAAAGATGGAAGCATCAGATATGAGCATGATGGAGCTTGGAAATGCATCACCCTTTGTGGCACCACCAGTATTGCCTGCTCCACTGCAGCCCCACTCATCCTGTACTTGTCTTGCACCCCATATGACCTCTTCTTTGCATCTCCAGAATACATGTTGATGGCCTGCATGCATTCCCCAATGAAGTCTTGTTCAGGGCATCAGCATCCTTGTCCATGACAAAGGTGGGGCTGTTGTCGTTGGGTTGGATCACCTCATAGGCCAGATTATAAGCACATCTGAATGCAATGTGAGTTTGCCTTGCTCACTCCTGTGACATCTCTGCTTGAATCCCCCCATACTGTCCAAGCATGCAAGTGTGGTGGGCATTTCCTCGCAAATATCCACCTGCCCCAAAGGAAGCTTCCAGGGCATCTGGTCTCCACAATCCCATGAGCTTTTTGTCACATGTGGGGTGAATGCTGATTCCCAAGTTGACCAAGAGCTCCCCATTGGCCCTGTCTACCATGTGGGACCAATCCAGAGCTGGAAGTCCATGGAGGAGAGCTTGGACCAGCATTTGAACCACTCCTGACAGGGTGGTTGTCATCCACAACTTGATTCCCTTGCATTCCAGGACAAAGAAGATGGAACCATAGTTTGCAAATTGTAAAGGGTCCTCTCAGATGATTGCCTCCATGGTCTTCTGGATCTGCTTCAACACTTGCATAGAAAAGGGGACCGCTTTTGGCCGACCAGCCTTCTTGGTTTTGCCACCTTTTCATGCCTTGAACTGCACTTCCTTCAGAGTGAGAGAGACATATGGTGCACTTGAAACATCTGCATGTGCATGGATCGCTGGAAGTAGGACATGCTCCCAGAAAAAGTCGAGGACCTCCTTTGGGATGTGATTGGCACACTTGTGTGTCATCTCATCCCTGTGGATCATCCTGGGGAAGCAAATGTAGACATTCATGGTGCCAGCAGCGTTGCTCAAGGCACCAAACACTGTGTGAGGTACTCCACACAGAGGAAATGCCATGGTCAACCATTCAGTATGGCTTCCAATGGCACTGGAATCTGCCTCTGACTGAGGCACAAGGATGTCAACATACACATGATTGTGCTTGTGCATAGGAGCCTTTTCCTTGACGATGGGACCAAGGTAGATGGGCAGCGGTGTGTTGAACTGTAGGGAATGTGTCACCCATATGAGACTGTCGATGTCCACAGTGACTTCCAACTCCTCTGGAGTCACCAACTTGTGATCCAGCTCCAGGTCCAGGCAGATGTGACGCCCATCCTCATGCTGCCCATTCACAAAGGTGTTTGTTATGCCCAAGTGCGGTGACTTCTTCAAATGGAATAGGCACGAAGTGCGCGAGGTGGGAGACTATGGGCTGAACTTGTCGTAACCCCTATGGCCGAGTTATTACGATGATCCAACAGAGGTTCTTTCTACTGGCAAGTCCCTAAGGTTGTTCGCGTGGAGAAAGGAACAAGGATCAGAGTAAAGGGATGAAGCTCAGTTGCAAGCTATCAAAAAACTGCAGATACAGGGTGAAGTACGTAGGATTATATACCCCTAAGTACGAGTACCCTAGCAGTCGTGACCGACGCGTTGCAATGCATATCCGCAGTATTCAACAAAGTCTGTAAATGAAATAAGTGGAGTCATAGCGGTGTCAGGAGAGTGGTAGACAAGGGAACGAAGGCTACACTGACTGTGCCATCAAGGCGCAGCAGGCGGCCAGACACTGGATCTAAAGTACAAACATTTGAGCAATATACATGAGTCAGAGCAAGTCAACCGGAACAAGAAAAGAACAAGTCGTCCATCAGAACCCAGGAAGGGCTGGATCACGGTTGATGAGTCTCGACAGGTATTGGAAATACCTGGACAGCAGGTGATCCAAAAGATCCCTGGAGCATACGCACTCCCAGGACGGTGACAGTTATTAAGGTCGTGACGAGGCACGTGATGCACATGACCGCTAAGAGTCGAAAAGGAAACCACCCTTGATGGAAGTGTAACATCACCCCCCCCCTAAGGTCCTCAGACCCTTGAGGATGACTGGGAAGTCACGTTGGTAGGGCGAGTGGAAAGGGGTTGACAAGTAGTGTAAATGCGGGAACATGTTCGAGTGGTGATGGGCGATGAAGACGACGGAGATGCCGGTTCCTCGAGGGCTGGAGTATAGCGGGAGCCACATCCATTCCTGCATGCCCAATGTCCCAGGAAACAACACTGGTAACAGGCGTGCTGGTAAAGGGGGTGGTCAGGAGGAACTGGCGACTGGCCTCTGAGGTAGTACCGAAGTTGATCCGCAGGGACGGGGACGAAGGGAGTTGAAGGGATAGGATCGGTGGAGTGGACTGCATTAAAGTAGTTTTTATGATTTCCAGCCCACGACGTGTCCTGTAGCAAGACCTCCCAAGCGGAATTGTAAGTTCCAGTCCCAAGACGAGCACCAACCTCTTTAAACAGTTCTCCTGCGTCGACAAACCCTAGCTCCACAGCATGCCATTCCTTCTCCTTCTCCTGATCCATTAACTCTTCTTTCTTCTTTAATTTGTCTGAAACCGAAGGTTCCTCTCGTTTCAGAACGATCCGATCAAGGATCTGGGAAGCAGGTGGAGCCAAGAACTCTCTGATCTGTTGCTGCCATAAGTGATGGTAAGCTCCTCTGGTAATTGCTTCGGTAAGATCCAAAGAAGCTTTCTCCAGCATGTCGATCATGATTACCTCAGAGAGAGGGGCGGTCCCGCTGAGCTTCCTTGTACGAATTTTAGACACCAGTCCGTTTATCATGTCTGACGCTCTGTAGATTTGAGACAACAACCCAAAATATGTAACCTGTTCTGGTGTGCACCCGTTAATGTCATCCCCATCGTTGAAGACGTCAAGTGCCCTAACAACGTCCAGGTAGTCACTTGCTGAGACTGGAAGTCATTGCTGGTCAAGCCTGGCAGAGGCTGCCATGGCAAGGAGGTCAAGGGCGGCATGCTGGGCATGGTCAGAATAGGTGGTGAAGGTGGTGCGTAGCTGGGGAGATTCGGTAACATGGGAGCTACCAGCAGGGGTTGTTGTATAATCAGGGTCATTGTCAGCGCTCTCCTTACCCTTTCCCTTTTGGTTACTGTCCTCTCTTGGGAGGGCTCTGGCCTTGGGGACTGGGAGGTAGTGGACTGAGATCCCCTCAAGTGGACGCGGTCCACAAGCGTGGGAGACAGGGGGCGATACCGGTCGGTGTTGTGAGACAGGTGAGGAGAACCCGAATACATAAAAACCGGTGGGGGATGTTGGCATAATCGTTTTCAGTGTTGACAGAGCGAGGGGAGTCCATTAGGTACGAAGGTGGTGGGCAAGTTTGTATTGGTCTAGCACTTTGCAAGTGTGCTCCTTTATATGTTCCTCTGGCTCCCACATATTAGACGAATGAGGGAACCCTTTCCATTTAACCAAATACCGCCTCTTGCCTCGGTGACCATCAACCTTGTGATTCAATATTGACTCAACCTCCCATTCAATTTCATTGTCGACTAGTTCGGGCAAGGGGGCTGTGGGTGCAGCTCTGTATGTCTTGTTTTTGACGAATGGGAGGATCCAAGAAGCATGAAACACTGGGTGAACCTTCCAAGTTGCGGGTAGGTCCAATCGGAAAGCGACAGGCGATACGACCTGAGTCACTTTGAACGGTCCGAGACGTCAGGGTGCAATCTTGTCACACTGGTTTTTGATGCGCAGGTGACTGGTGTCAAGGAGAATGGAATCACTGACTTTGGGCGCAACATAAACCCCTTTTGAGCATGCTTTCATGGCTTCTTGGGCTTTTTTATGAGCCAAGATCGCAACATCTCGACTTGATGCTAAAAGCTCCAATCTTTTGTCAACAGATGGAACGGGAGTTGTCCGAACCTCGGGGTATGGAGAGGGATTGTATCCGAGGATAAGGGAGAAAGGCATCATTTGATGAACGGAGTGGATCCGAGAATTGTGGGTGAATTCGGTGGAGGGGAGTTTTTGGGACCAGGAATTCGGGAATTCGGCGCAATACAGGCATAGATATCCCTCAACTTCTTGATTGACCCTTTCACTTTCGCCATTAGTCTGCGGATGGTATCCGGAAGACAACTTAGCCTTAACCCCTATTGCCTTGTACAACTCCTTCATAAAGGAGGACACGAACTGGGGGCCGCGATCTGAGATTACTGACTCCGGGACTCCATATCGGGAATAAATGAACTGATGGAAGAGTCGGGTGAGTCCAACGGAGTCAATAGTTTTATGGCATGGAATGAAGAGTGCAGCCTTTGTCAGGCCTTGATTGACAACCGTGAGAATTGTGTTGTACTTCTGATCTCCCAAGATGGGAAGATCCGTGATAAGGTCCATGGAAACTTGTTGAAACAGGAACACGGTTTTTGCAGTTTCATGAGGGATAACTGGCAGAGTTGGCAGATGCATTATGACCTTGGTGGTTTGACAGACCGGACATCTGGCTACATAGGCTTTGATGTCTTTTCCCATGCCTTCCCACCATACTTCTTTCCGCATTTTGGCAAACATGGCTTTTTGCCCTGGATGACTGGAAGACTTGTGGTCGTGATAGGTACGCATGCAGTGGCATCGGCTATCAGGAGGGATGTACAACCGTGTTGATCCGAATCTTTTTGTTCCGTCTTCTGCAATCATGACGTTATCCTTTGGTTCGGGACCTATAGAGCTTTTCGACGCATCATTTTTGACATGTTCATACAGGTCTGCTGAGATTGCATAAACCCCCCTGGCTCCTTTGACTGGTTCCTCAGAAGGGCAAGCGTCAGGCAGCCTATTCCTCTTTGATGAATCCTCAGATGGGCAGGAATAAGGCTTCGGGGTTTTTTGACTACGTGCAAGTTTGGCAGGAATACGTTCGATTCTGCATATATGGTTAACTTTTAGTTGTTTTTGTATTTTTGTGAAGGAAAATGAAGGCAAAACGAGGCGAATTTGTGGTGTCACCCCCTCCAAAAGCCAAAGGTTCTCAGGAAGGACCGTGGCTACCGGTGAAGGCTCTTCCACTTTGGGTTTGCATGAGAGGGCATCAGCAGGGACTTGAAGGCGTCCCGCTTGCCAGGAGAACCGTAGGGGGTACGACTGCACAGTGGCAGCCCAGCGAGCCTGGCGAGGAGTGAGCTGTTGCGGCTCTCTGTAGTATTCAAGGTTCTTGTGATCCGTAAAGACCACAGTGGGTTTGACCAGGGACAAAAGGTATGGGTGGAAGGCCTTTAGCGCACAGATAACAGCCAACATTTCCAGATCATAGACCTGGTAACGTTGTTCCGCGCCAACCAAAGACTGGGACAGGTAAGAACAGGGGTGCCACTCATCATCGGACCCTTTTTGGGTGAGGACTGCTCCAGTTCCAAGTTTCGAAGCATTGGTGAACAACATGAAAGGCTTCGAGAAGTCTGGGATTGTGAGGACCGGAGCGGAGCATAACAAAGACTTAAGCTTCATAAAAGCCACGTCTCATTCAGGGGTCCATTGATAAGGAACACCTTTCTTGGTAAGGTCGGGGAGGGAACGGGCGACGCTTGAAAAGGAAGGGATGAATTTTCGGTAGAAGTTGCAGAAACCGAGGAAACAACAGAGGCCAGTTAGGTTCTCAGGGGCCTCCCACGTACTAACGGCATCGGTTTTCGTTGGAGAAGTCTCCAGATGCCCTTTTCCAATAATCATTCCTAAAAACTCGATTTCTTCAGCCTCAAAAACACATTTGCTAATCTTGAGGCAAAGATCTTCCTTTGTGCAGATGGTGAGGAATTCACGGACACAGGTCCGAAGTTCCTCTTTTGTCTTTGCATGAATAGTGACATCGTCCATGTACCCGACCTGTTTTCCTTGTTGAGAGGCGAAGGTCTGATCCATATACCTTTGAAAAGAAGGGGGTGAGTTACACTGTCCAAAGAACATTACCGTGGGTTCAAAAAGCCCTCTAGGGGTAATGAAAGCTCCTTTCCACTCATCTCCTTCTTTAACCCGTAAATTTGTGAACCCCCATCGGATGTCAAATTTAGCGTAGTATTTTGATTCAACTAGCTCATCGAACAGGGCTTGAGCATTTGGTAGTGGATGTGCGTTGGGGATGGTATGTGAATTCAAGTAGCGGTAATCCTGGATCAACCGCTTCTTCCCATCCTTCTTTGTGACGAAAAACACCGGCGCTGCCTGCAGCGAGGTCGATGGTCGAATCTTGTGACATTTAAGATTTTCTTCAAGAAATTCATCTAGGATTTTTAGCTCGTCCAGCAACATGGGGTACACAGTCACTTTCTTTGGCTTGAAGTCTTCCCAAAGTCGTATTTCATGATCTAACCCCTCTCGATGACAAGGGAGTGGGATGTCTTCTTCAGAGAAGACCTTGGCGAATTCTTGATACTCCTTCGGAAGTATTACTTCCTCCTTGGTCGAGGATAAGGCAGCCTCGAGTTCTGTAGACAAAGTGGTTTTGTTAACTTTGCTTACCTCTGGTTCCTTTACGGAACCATCGCTGTTGAACGATACGGCACTCCCTTGGTAGAGCGGAAAAAGACCTTTAATAACGACATCAGTTTCTCTGGTTGGAACAAACCCATCTTCCCAACACATGATAAGATTTTTCTCCCAATTCATTCGAGGCTTGAACTCTCAAAGGAAGGGCATTCCCAGGAGGATGTGTTCTTTTCTGACTAGGGGACCGACATAACATTTGAGGCATATGACCCGATTCTTGATCAGTAACCGGATGGTCACCTTTCGAGTCACCCATTCGACATCCTTCCCAGTGAAGGACATAGTCTTGAATTTGCTCTTGACCCGATACAAAGGGATCCGAAGCTTTTGAACTATTTGCTCCGAGATAAGCGAAACCTCTGCACCCGAGTCGATGCAAACCATTACTCCTGCGTTGTAGTCCAGCAACCATGCTCTTCCTAGAGGGGAACTGACTCTCATGCACGATTCATCTTCTATAGAAGTACAATTGGTGGACAATATAGATACAGGACCTGCCTGGGGAGTTTGGGCGGTCCCATTCAAAAATGCAACCCATATGCCTTAGCCTCTTCGTTTGTGGCTAACCTTTCTCCCATGTAGGCAGTTTTCGTCCCGTCATTATTGAGGACGACTCGTATTCCGGGGAGATTCTTCGGCTTATTGGCTTTGCAGTTACACTTGATGTGACCCTTTTCTCCACATTCGAAGCATGTAATTTTGGGGTTTGAACATCTAACATTCCATTTGCATTTATTGACGTCCATCACATCAGGATCTCGGGAACCTCCGCAGTAATGAATGAACTTCTTTTCATACCGAGATTCCTTTCCTTCAAGGATATGTTTGGTAGTGATGGCTGTCCTGGCTTCTCCTGCGCACTGTATCCATTCGATGACCGTGGATGGGGCACACCCAGAATTAAGGACCCAATCACGATATTCTTTATTCAATCCTTTTCCGAAGAAGATCCCTGCTTCACGCGATTCTTCTTTTAGTTGAGCCTTGTTGACAAGCCCAGTAAACTCGGCAACATACGACTCGAGTTCTCGTTTTCCCTGAGTGATGTCGGATAGACGAAGGATAGTGAGGGCAGTTTGATTGCCAGATTCGAAAGTAGCTTTGAGACATTTGATGAATCGTTGGAAGGTATCGGAATACCAAATAGTTCCATCAAGAAGCTTGTTTTCATTTTGATAGTTTTCGGCAAAGGAAATGGCGGCTCCTTTAGTCATATACGTCAAGGCGAACGAAATCTTGAGCGACTCCATGTTGTAGACATGCTTATTAAGGTTCAAATATCCTTCGACCTGCATAATCCAGGTCTGAAGCCTGTTGTGGCTTCCATCGTATTCTCCAGGACGCCCGACATTGAACTCCCTTCCTCCATTGGGTGGGCGGTACTCATACGAGTCATCAGGATCTACTGGGGCCTTTCCCTTACTGGACCCACCAGTGGGGCCCTCTGGGGGAATTACCTTTCCATAGTTCCTTGCGTACCATGCTCGTAGAGCCGAGTCAGTAGGCATTCCTGTTGGAAAAGGGTCGCTCGACTGTCCACCAGCAATCTTGTGCCAGTCTTCTGCTAACAAGCGACGTTGTTCTTCCAACCTTCCTTTCAGCTCCTCTTCCGTAAACACCTTCGGCGGCATTTCTGGGGCTGACTCTCCGTGACTGATCGTCATGGACATTTCAGGTAACTTGTGTGCTTCCTGTTCTTCCTTGAGGACTGATCCGAAAGAAGTCTCAGACTTCTGATCGTCTTCTTCTTCTGAACTTAGCATGACTTCCGATTCCCTAAAACGGGACAGATAAGATAACCTTGGGTTGCTGCTTGTAGAAGAAGGCCCAAGTCTGCTAGGTATTGGCGGTAAAGGCAGGTTCCTTCCAAGTCCTAACGGGGTATTGCGGGGTGGGACTGGAGGTCTCGACTTTGACGGGTTAGACACTTTAACGAGAAGTGATAACAAAGACTGAGGGAGGATTTATTTCCTGAAGGAAACCTGTCAGTTATAAAGGGGGATTTGCACAAGTATCTTTACATGTAGGGAGACACAAGTGCAGGCTCAAGGGAGGCGATCTATTAAAGCCTAATGGCTGCCTGTAGAGCGACGAAATTGATTGAGGGTAGAGAGGCGAGTTAGTCTTTACACTGAGGGAGACCAACAAGCCTTTGAAGATAAGGGTAGACTGGTTTGTTGAAGTTCAGTAACCAAGGGACAAGTAGACTTTCGCGAAGAGGTCGACGAGTCCCAAAAGCTGCATTGAGTTTTTCGATTTTGTTATGCCCAAGCACAGTGACTTCTTCAAATGGAATAGGCACGAAGTGCACGAGGTGGGAGACTATGGGCTGAACTTGTCATAACCCCTATGGCTGAGTTATTACGATGATCCAACAGAGGTTCTTTCTACTGGCAAGTCCCTAAGGTTGTTCGTGCGGAGAAAGGAACAAGGATCAGAGTAAAGGGATGAAGCTCAGTTGCAAGCTATCAAAAAACTGCAGATACAGGGCAAAGTACGTAGGATTATATACCCCTAAGTATGAGTACCCTAGCAGTCGTGACCGACACGTCACGACACATATCTGCAGTATTCAACAAAGTCTGTAAACGAAATAAGTGGAGTCATAGCGGTGTCAGGAGAGTGGTAGACAAGGGAACGAAGGCTATGCTGACTGTGCCATCAAGGCGCAGCAGGCAGCCAGACACTGGATCTAAAGTACAAACATTTGAGCAATATACATGAGTCAGAGCGAGTCAACCGGAACAAGAAAAGAACAAGTTGTCCATCAGAACCCGGGAAGGGCTGGATCACGGTTGATGAGTCTCAACAGGTATTGGAAATACCTGGACAGCAGGTGATCCGAAAGATCCCTGGAGCATACGCACTCCCAGGACGGCGACAGTTATTAAGGTCGTGACGAGGCACGTGACACACGTGACTGCTAAGAGTCAAAAAGGAAACCACCCTTGATGGAAGCATAACAGTGTTCATGAGACGTTCTGACGTGCTTGAGCCAATCTCGATCATCTGAGAGGCACCCAGTATGACCACATCATCCACATTGACTCTTGATGGATGGGGCACCTGCTGGGCAAGAGAGTAATTTCCTGGAACAAAGCAATCAGAAGAGGGCACCAGGGCAGGATATGAGTGCTCACCAGTAACATGGTTGCCGATTTGATGAGAAGACTGGTAGTTAGCTGGAACACCCACTTGGAGGATATGGTCTGACAATCTGATGGGGGGACCCAAGTAGAACATCTGGTTGAAGGAACTCAGCAGACGATAGCCATAATCTCGAAAGGACGTCCACATCCCAGGCCGATATTAGGGCTCCTCCACAATCTCGTTGCAGTTGCGGTCCTGGTGCAAACTTTCCAAGACAGGTCCTCCTTCATACTCATCAAACCTGCGATCGAAAGGTTTCCATCGTTGACCTTGGTATGCAGGGAGGTATACCAGCAGAGTTGGATGTGGGAAATGGTACATTGTTCCAGCTGACCAGTCCTTGACATGCTTGTGTCACTGGATGATCTCAAGGGGATCATCTGGAGTGGATGCCCCTTTGACTTGATGACCATGGGCAGCCCGAGGAGGAAGTCGATCCCTGGCTCTGGCCCTGCTCACATAAGGGTAGTGCCGAAGGAGATCCCTGAGATGCTGAGACTTGGCATCCAGAGGCAAACAATGGTCTTCACCTTCATCTTCAGTGTCAGTCAGAAAGTCACCATCAGAGTGCACATCAGGGTTCACTACATCGCTGGAGTCATCCCCCCTTTGGCAGTGAAGGCAGTTGGCCCCAATGACATTCAACTCACGGACGATGGTAGCATGTTGCTCTCCAGATGATTGGTGTTCCACATCCATAAGGATGTCTTCACTGATGGCTTTGGTGTCGTCCCACTGTGTCCACATGTGACCAGGGGGAAGGGTGGCTGTAGACAAGTAACGATAGTCCTCCCAGCACCTTCGACAGCCCTCCTTCACCATGACAAGCATTTGAAGGCAGAGACGATGACCACAAGGAATTGGAGGGATGTGGATGGTAGGCCTGCCATCACCAGATAGCCCCCCTCTCATGAGTGACTCCATGACAAAGGATGCAATGGGGCCACAGTTGAAACCGTTCTGTGACCAATTGTACACCTGCACATCAACTTGGGTTGGGTTGATGGCATTGAATCCATGAAGCGATGCTATGCGTGTCCAGTAGAAAGGGCCATTCCATGTGTTCCAGTCATCATGCAGTGGGTCATAGTGGGGATGAGGGGTTTCTGGGACACGTTTGATGCACCTTCCAAGGATGAATGCAAGGTTCAACCAATAGTCAAAGACTGCAACAAAGAAGTGACTGTTTTGCATGACCACAAAGGCAATGGGAATGGATGGATTGGCAGGATGGGAATTGAAGAGATGGCGTTGATGAAAAAGTTGAATCTCCTGTGCATCTGGTAAGGCATGGGTGCCCCCACTGACAGATGGAATGACAGAGAACAAGTCGGCATACAGCATACCATTGGGACAGGAGATGAAAGTTGAGGATGCTGGCATCGATCCAAGTTTCATACCGGAGTGTCCCTAGGGTCTGGTAGGCCATCGCCCATGTGGTAGGCCTGGCCATGGAACACACTTTCAGAAGTGATCATAAGCAGATGGAGAGAAAGAGTACAGAAGAGACTCACTGATGATCTCACGTACAGAAGGCACCCCTGACTCCTGACTCGAGTCCTGATGGGGTGGATGCGATGGTGCAACTGATGGGCCATGCACATTCACAAAGGAATCGTCAGAGGCATTGCTTTGATGCTCCTCTTCTGACCCACTCAAGTGGTTTACCATGGCCTGGCACTTCTCGTATATCTGGTTCAGTTCATCCTCATCAACAGAGGATTCTGGATCTTCTGGAGGAGTCATTGCTCTGGCAAGGAGACCACCCATTATTACACTGTAGGATGGGGACAGAGGAGAAGAGCATGCTGAGTCTGAATGATGAGATGGAGGAGAAATGGCCTTCATGACATTGTCAAATGCAAGTCTGATTTCACTTTCATCAGTGGAGGATGCATTGGAAGCAGCTCTGAGGGCTCTCTGGGAACATGTCTGGGGTGCCATGGCAGTGGAATGTTGGTTCTTTGCCGATCCCAAACATGTAATGCCACACCAAATCCAAAGAATATTTTTCAGGGTCTGCCCTGGCTAACTGAGAATTGCAAGCGATGTCACGGGTTACCCTCCGACTTTTTACTTCACCTCCCAACCCAACATGGCCCCTCCATCCAACAAGACCTTTCTTTCCCTTCCATCATCCTCCAAGCTAAGTGGTAGGTCTCAATTAGACACCAGCAGTCATTCAAGCTCATCCAGCCAGTGACGAACCTCACCAGTGCAGGTGAAGACATCCTGGATGGAAGGCAGGAAGTTCCAGAACACATGACCCACACCTTCCAAAGAGTGATAAGTAAGAAAAGACTGGGTGTGCATGTCATTTGCTGATGGAAGCTTTAATTAGCATCTTTGTAAATGGTGACGATGGCAGCCTGTGGTATGCTGTGATCAAGGACATCAGAGTCCAACGGTTGAAGAGAAGTAATGTAAGAGATTTCCAGTGCCATGTGGGTGTCCACCCTTCTGATGTGCAGTACAGAAGGCATGGGTTGAAGTGCAGTGGTACTACAGCAGGAGTGATATAGGAGACAAAAAGTGAGCTGGCTGTCATCGAGTTCCTTGTATCTTTGACTCACTCACAAACAGCATGAGAAAATACATTGGCAACAATGAGCTGGTTCTATCGGACCACAATGACATCATTGAACCAGAGGCCATCGTGTGTAAGTCATCCCTGAATTTTGTATACAGCTTGGAAGCTCATGGAGAGCATAGCGCCAGCAGACATCACATCTTTCAGTGCAGAAAGGTGTTTTGGTCCTCTGATAGGACCCAAGGATATATATACATGGTGGACCATGAGCACACATGGTAAACAAGTCATCCAGGTATTGATAAATGGCATGACACCGATTTTTGAAAAACTCCTGACATAAACTACACCCCATCAGGGCCCCTTCCATGCTTGCTCTGTCTGTGAAAAACCATATAGCCCAGACAAAGCTGAACAACGGTATTGTTGAACCTGCAAAAATTGGTTCCACTGCAGTTGTTTACAGAAACTCGCAAAGGGAAGCACCAGACCCCTGGACATCACAAAGGAAGTCCTAAATGGGACAGGTCTCTCACTGCAGGATATTCAGGTGCATGTCCTGTGCATTCCGATATGCAGGGGAAATGAGGGTGGTGTGGTGGGCAATGGTGAGGTTATGATGAGTATGTGGGAGGAGGTCAGAGCAGCACAGAATGGGCAGAGACAGGAGGTTGAAACTGGTCTACAAAATCATATGACCAGTGACCTGATCCAACAGGCACAGAAGTCATATGTGTATTATTGATGCTCCTTCTGTTTTGCAGAAGGCAGAGAGTGTTACATATGATGTAGGCTCATTCTTGGCTGTAGAACCCTGACCCAAACAAATACCAGCCATTGAACAGAAAGAAAGGAATTGGAAGAGGCCAGGGTGATGATCAGGAAGCTAAATACTGCATTGGTAGTGTCAGATGCTGTGGTAGAACTGAATAAAGAGCAGCGGTGGGATCATGCACCAGTATGTGATATTTCAAAGACTCTTCAGACTGTCAGCACCATAGCACCTGCCCCCTCTACATGGATTATGACACTGAAAACACATGTAGGCATAATAGGCAGAATGCATCGTGGACAAAAGCAGCAAACTGGATCCAAGTGACTTGGATGGCCATAATTACATCGGTAAATGTGGGTATCAGTCCAGCACTGAAGCCCTTGTCCACACTGACTGGGCCACCTTTGCACTTGTTGTGAGCCCACGATTCATCTCTACCAGACTCTGATGTGTTTATAGTAGTGAATGCAATACGAGTAAACCACACGAGATAATATACATACCCCGAGGGCATTATTATTACAAAGTGGCAACGATAAATTGGGGGGAATGATGCTGGAAGTACTGCTGGAGGCCAGCATCATATACATGGATTTAATAATACATAGCAAGAGAGGGAGATGTCCCAACTTTACAGAATTGAATTGCAGCCGATGATACAACACACAAGGGAGGCTAGGGTGGTTGACATTGGGGAGATTAATGAGTACTCTAAAGAGTGTCATGACACACAGGGGTTGATAGGATTTGGTGGGTAATGGGTAGTGATGATATACAACAAAGTTGAGATTGTACTGACTACATGTTCACTATGTATCATCTCTCAATGGTATCAGAAAGGCTCAAATTGTTGCATATAAAATAATTATGTATGTTCAGCAGAATGATTTTCATTACAATATTTGTGATATATCATAAATAGTTCTCCAACATATCTCACTTTGTTTTGGAATTAACAATCTGCTTTTTTGTGAGCAGAAAGTTCAAAGGGGTAGGAAGTATTTACTTAGCCCAAATATCGTATTGCAATGATGAATTGTGTTCCAAAGCTTGTCTGCGAAACATTCTGCCTTTCATCTTTCAACGAAAAATCAAATCAGATATAAAGTCTTTCCACATGAGAATCATAGAGCAAAACATCAAAAATTATTTCTGCATGAAATATTGAGAATATTATTACATGTTCCATGCTGTCATTGTCATCATGTGTGTGGTGGTGGCATGGCCATCATCATTCTCGTTGTCATCTGTAAAGCATCAGGACTCACTGTGCTCCACTTCATCTGGTGGCCAGACTGATGCCAAGCATCTTCCATCTGAGGCATGATCCTTTTCTTACATTGCACCGGAGGAGGGGTAATCTTGGTTGGGTGGACTGAGTTGGTTCCTCCATGATATCATCATCCATTATACCATGCACTGCGCATTGTCATTTGCATGGTGGTGGTGGTGGCATGGCCATCATCATTCTCATTGTCATCTGTAAAGCATCAAGACTCACTGTGTTCCACTTCACCTGGTGGCCAGATTGATGCCAAGCATCTTGCATCTGGGGTTGAATCCTTTTCTAACATTTTGCTGGAGGAAGGATAATCTTGGTTGGGTAGACTGAGTGAGTTCCACCACCACAGCATCATCCATTATACCATGCACTGTGCATTGTCATTTGCATGGTGGTGGTGGTTGCATGGCCATCATCATTCTCAATGTCATTTGTAAAGCATCTGGATGCACTATGTTCCACTTCACCTTCTGGCCAGAGTGATGCCAAGCATTTTGCATCTGAGGTTGAATCCTTTTCTAACATTTTTCCAGAGGAAGGGTAATCTTGGTTGTGTTCCACCTCACCTTGTGGCCAGATTGATGCTGAGCATCTGGAATCTGAGGTTGAATCCTTTTCTAACATTTCGCTGGAGGAAGGGTAATCTCAGTTGTGTTCCACCTCATCTTCTGGCCAGACTGATGCTGAGCATCTGGCATCTGAGTTTGAATCCTTTTCTAACATTTTGCCAGAGGAAGGGTAATCTTTGTTGTGTTCCACCTCACCTTGTTGCCAGAATGATGCCAAGCATCCGGCATCTGAGGTTGAATCCTTTTCTTACATTGCACCAGAGGAAGGGGAATCTTGGTTGGGTAGACTGAGTGGTTTCCTCCATCTGCTATATCACACACTGTGCTGTGATCTGCAGTGTCATACAAAGACATGTTTTCTTCTTCCAAGTCATCACATAGGTTCTTGTGCTGCTGTGCACTTCATATCCACTTCAGGCAGACCAGATTTGACACAAAACTGTAATTTTCTTGCAGCCTTTAAACCCACCTTAGGCTGCCTACAAGACTTGAGCAGCACACAAGCTGAAGCCAATGTCTTCACTCCACTTCTGCCTCTTGGCAGTAAGCTGTATTTAAAGAAGAGCTGTAGAGGGAGGCATGTGCACTTGGTATAGGGAGGCTCAGACCCTGCATGGGACAACCACTGGCAGGAGCAGAAGGATGAGGATGAGGGGGGAGCCATAAATGCAATTACAAACACTGCAAAATTAGTTCCATCACCACCCACAGGCCAATATATCCATGCACCCCCATCTCAAAATTGGCCACTCATTTTGCCAGATACTCAGATGACACTCAGATGGTAGTATGATCAGCTTGGCATGATGTAGCAATGTAGCAATGCACTTGAAAGCAATGGCAGTCACAAGATCTACATCTATACAGTAGTCCACTACTTAATACTACATGCTGTGTGTATTGAATGACCTGTGTTCAAAGACTCCTTTGTGCCTCTCAAAGGGACTGATTCAATATCTTAGAACAATGTAACCACAAGCATCAATATATGTTGCCTCAACTCAATACAGGCATTCATGCTCTCTTTCAGTTATAATGCATGGAAATAAATTCAGTACTACAATTACAACAGGCATCAAGTACAGGCATCCATACACCAGGAGGCTTGAGTCAAGAGATCATGGGCAAGTAGGTTGAGTGGCAGGCAAAGCCTTGAAAGTGATGGGAGTCAGAGAACATTTAAATTTGTTTACTTTTTTTTAATTTTATTTAATTAATTTTTCCCTTACTTACAGAGCCTCAGTCAATCTTGTCCTCACTAAGGTATATCTTATCACTTATGGCTCTTGTAATAATATATTCAATACAGCAGAAGGCAACTATGCAACTCATCAATGAGTTGCAATGGTCTGCCACCAAAAAAAAATCACACTGCCATGCAAAGCACCTACCATGTATAGATAACAGCTCTGCATAGCCACAGATAGCCAGTATATATAGCATCCATTATGAGAAAGGTATTTTTTCCCTCTCTTTCCCTCCCTTCATTCTCTTTCTTCTGATCTCTCCCATCACCATCATCACACAGTAGGATGGCTTACACCTGCAGCACCTGTGGAGCAGAGTTTGACAACAAAAATCTACACAACACTCACAACAAAAAATGTGTCAGAGTATCAACCTTTACTGCACCTGATGGACAGCAGGTTACAGTGCACAGGACAGGCAGTGTATTCTTATGCTACTGTTCTGAGGCATCCTGCACTAAACCAACAGGGTATTCAACCACAGATGCCTTGAAAGCACACATGAAGAGGGCCTAGTAATCTAAACTGTCTGCACAGTTCCAGTCTGGAAAGTGCCTACTACTATAAAAGGAAATTCAAAAAGTGCCTAATAATCTACTTTCCAGAGTCCACCCCTGCCTCCAAGGGCAACCTGCCTTATATGGAAGGTTGCCTTCAGGCAACCTACACAGCCACTGAGGGCAACCTCCAAATAAGGAAGGTTGGCTGAAGGCAACCTGAGGGCAACCACCATATAAGGAAATAAATGCACAGCCACCAGAAAGCTGGTGAAGGGAAGAAACACAGCCACCAAGAGTCAAAAATAATAATAATAAGCAACTGGTTGCGTATCTGAACCCAAGATGACTAGCAAGTAACTAGTGAAAAAAGTGGACATGGTAATGACTACTGACTACTGATGAGCAACTAGCAACTACTTAGAACAGACATGATGAATATGAGTAGCAAAAATAAGCAACCAGTCACTTGTCTGGATGGAAGATGAGCAGTGAGTTGATTAGCAAAACAGTGGACATGGCAATGACTACAGACTACTGACTACTGACAACAGACATAGGTGAATATAAGGGACTGGTTGGTTATTTGGAGGGAAGATGAGCAGCAAGGTGATTAGCAAAAAAAGCAGACTACCAAGGGATGTAGTAGTGACCAGGGACCACTGCCACTGATGAATGGCTAGCAAGCGATAATGACAGGGGATGGAGAATATGACTAGGGAAAAAATAAGGGAGCAGTTGGTTATGTGGACTACGGACTATGGACTACCAAGTAGCAACAGCCACACCATGAACTGAAGAAAATAAGCAACTGGTTGCTTATCTGGACCCAAGATGACCAGCACATGATTAGCAAAAAAAAGTGGACATAGTGATGACCAATGACTACCAATGACCGACTACAGACTACCAAATACCAAGCACTGACAGCAGACATGGACATGGGGGGAAGGATCCAATGCAGAAGTTTGTGGGAGGACACCCTTTTCAGGCCAGCCACTTGGCTTGTATGAGACGACACTGGAATTGCTCCAAGCTGGCTTGCATCTGATGAAGCCAAGGCTGAACATGAGTAGCAAAAATAAGTGACTGGTTGATTATCTGGACAAAAGATGAGCAGGGCGTTGATTAGCAAAAAAGAAGACTACACACCTACCGACCACTGACCGACTTGAAGATGGCTAGCAAAGAATAAGGGACTGAGGGACTAGGGAGCACAAAGTACCAAGTACTGATGGCTATGCCACTGACCACTGGAAAACGACTACTGACTAGGAGGGACCAAGGGTTGAGGGATGAACATAAGGGAAGAAAATAGGCAACTGGTTATGACCGGTTATCTGGAGGCAAGATACAGTGACTTGCAAAATTGATTCAATGTTTGCACATTTTGGGTTGTTTGTTGAATTTATCAAGAGCAAAGACAAATAAGACCAAAGTATAAGTTGATGACACAAACCAATTGCACAGGGCTATCCATCCAAAAAAAAAGAATATGTAATTTGAATCAGTATGCATAAAGGTATATACAATTTAAATTGCCATGTCATCAAATGAATTTTGGAAGTGTGTATCAGAGATACAGAAAGTGATAATTTTAATACTTTGTATGACCTCTGTTGGCTTTTATCACTGCTTGGATGCTTCTAGGTATACTTTCAATTAAATTCTGACACACCCCTGGGTCTATATTATTCCACACCACTGGCACTCTCTCCTGAACCTCCCAAACACCATTTGGCTGTGTTGAACACTACTAATAATCTACTTTCCAGACTCCACCCTCACCTCTGCATGAAACCTGCACAGCCACTGAATGAAACCTCACAGCCACTGAATGAAACCTCACAGCCACTGAATGAAACCTATCCTTCTGATCCAAGAAGGATGCCCCATCCTACCTGGAGTGCAACCTTTAGTCAGCAAGTGCAACCACCCAATGGGGAGAGTGCAACCCTTAGTCAACAAGCACAACCTCCATTGCTCTTAAGATACATGTATCTTGCACTACAGGAGAGAGCACAACCTTTAGTCAGTGAGCACAACCACCCAATGGGGAGAGCACAACCCTTAGTCAGCAAGCACAACCTCCATTGCTCTTAAGATACATGTATCTTGCACTACAGGAGAGAGTGCAACCTTTAGTCAGTGAGCACAACCACCAAATGGGGAGAGCACAACCCTTAGTCAGCAAGTGCAACCACCTCATGTGATGTGTAACCAACCCATATAAGTAAATTGAGTATACATGCATACTAATTGATTAGGTTTAGCTTACACTAACCCAAGTTGACCTTTTCACAGGCAATCCATTGGAATTGACACTGAATCTTAGGTACTGTACTTGATGCAGGATATGCAAGTCACAGGTACAAAGCACTGACTGAGAGTGTGTTCTTGAACAAACAAATATGACATCTCACCAAACACTTCTAAGCAAGTTTAGTATACATGTATACTAATTCCACAATCTTGGATGAAATGGCATGGTTTTTAAGGCCAGGGGGGGGCCAATATTCATTGCAAGATGACATGTGGAGATAATACAGGCAGGGTAAACATCATACAAGGTGTGTCCTTCAATCCTCATCCATTCTGTGCAAGTTACTCATCACATCATCAGCCCACTGTTGCAATGGACCCTCAACCACCTTCCAGACAACAGGATGATTGGCCCAGGTTCCCTTGATCCACATATAGATGTCATGATCAGTGGGGAAGTGTTGAAGGGCCTTTGCCCAATCCAAGAGAATGGCCAAATCTGTGGGATTAGCCCTAATAGAGTGATGGATTGTAAATAAGAGTGCCTCCAAGGTGGATTCCTTCAGATCAACTGGCACATTGGACTTTGAAGTAGCACTGAGGGCTTTGATGACAGTTGCCCACTGCTCAGGTGTGTGGGTAATCTGCTGCAGCTTATCTGCAGCTGTCACATTCACTAGCAGGTCATATCCACCATCTGGAGCTCCTGATGTCCTTGCTTGCTTCTTGTGGTGTGTATCAGTGTCAAAGCCATCATCAGGAGTCAGCCATTTATCTAGGGTGTGATATGCACATTAGCATACATGTATACTAAAATTGTCAATAAATTTTATTACCTGAACCAGATGGCCCACTGTGGGCAGAAGATTCATCATGCAAATTCAATGCATGATGTGATGCACTGGGGGGGGGGGCCAGCAATTGCTGCCTTTGTGCTAAAAATCCATCATTTTAGTATACATGTATATTAAAATTCATAATAAAGACACAAACCTGTTGATGTACTTGGGCCCTCACTGTCAGATCCATCATCAGGTTGGGGGAGGATGCAAGATGGCTTCTTCTTTGCAAACTTCCTCACATGCCTAGCCATCTTGTCTGGGGCATGCTGCTGCTCCAACCTTGCCTGTTCTGAATAGGCTATGGTTGATGTAGAATGCAGTGACTGCACTGCATATGGATCAAGCTCAGCTGTCATGTGTCCTCACCAGAATTCTTGAGCCTCAAGGGGATTCAGATATTGCAGGCTTTGGAAATCTGACCCAAAGCCAGCAGTCCCAAGAAGTTCTTGGGTCATGGGGAATGGAGCTGTATGGGTCAGGTCTGCAGTGGGCTCCTGCAAGCACAT